TCTCTCTCTCTCTCTCTCTCTCACACAGGGACATACACATATATATCTCCATTAGTTACATGGCAAAAACCTATCTTCATTTTGAACTTTGCAACAGAAACTGGCTACAAAGACATTCAAACGTTTATATTATAGGCCCTATGTATGCCATACATTATCATAATACATAAACATGTATTTATCATACACAGATCACATTAGAAAGGCCAGAGTTTTTTAACACATTGCAGTTACTGCTCTTTTTCAGACAATTCATAGTTTTGGCAAAAGCACATGAAAAATGGAAGACTTGAATTCGAAACTTTTATCTTTCGACCAGAGCTCATACCTAAAACAGTCCAGTATGAATGTGTCAATTTACAAAATATCAAGTATGTATTTGTATGGACACATATATAGCCTTTGCAACTTAATATTTTACACAGCTCACATCCCCACACCAGTGCAGTGCTACTGACAGAAGTTGTCTTTAGGCCATTCCCAAAGGGGGATATTAACATATGTTATCCACAGTAAAATTGTGAATGGGCTGGTTTATTAATGTCATGCTCATACTGTGTCGTAACAACATAGGGGGAACTGCTGCTTTTTCTTTCCTCATCCTTCCTATCGTCATTTTTCCTCTACTTCTTTTTAATGTGTGTCACTCTCTTGTGAACTGTTATTACCAGGGTGCCTTGATAGTCGCAGCAGACTTTGTGCTGTTGAGGCCAGAGAGGTGAGCAGAGTAAGGGTGATTCCCTGTTTGGACTTCTCTGTTGACATCCACCCCTTGGCGCTCATATGAACTTGTGCAGTTGCGAGTGCCATAAAACCTTACTAAAACAAAACAAACACAGCTCACTTTTTAAAAAAAGGTGGATAGATGTGAAATAAATAGGCACAAAAAGGTTTTTGGGGGTTTTTTTCATTGTCAGGGAGGGAGGCTTGTAACTAAGAGAATATATTTGACAATTGAGACAGAAAGAGGATGTGAATGAGTGAGGGGGGGGGGGTAAATTGAGTCTATGATTTTGTGTATGGGGGGAAAAGAAGTGGGTGAATTAAACCATTAGTTGGGGGTGGGTGAGTGGGTGAGAGACAGACTGAGCGAGTGAGTGTCCGATAGAATGTGTGAGAAATGCTGTTGAATGAGTGAGCAAGAAAGGGAAAAAACAGGAGGTGCAAGTGAATGAATGAGAGAAGAGAGACTGAGTGGATGGGTATAGGTGAATGAATGACAGGGTGAGTGGGTAAAATATTGACCAAAGTGGAGATTGAAGAATAAACAGAATGAGCAAAAAGTGAGAAATAGGGGGAAAATGAAACTCGGGAAATAACGAAATACACTGGCAACAAGAACTATACAGGAAATCACAGGTGGACAGTCAAAGGTTTGGTAACTTCCATAGCCTGAGAGTCCTTGGAAACAGGTGGAAAGTCAAAGGTTTGGTAACTTCCATGGCCTGAGAGTCCTTCTTGGAAACTGAAAATTTAGATTTTTTGTGCCTTTACTCAATGTTTTTCAGTATTATCCACAGATAAATGTATTTTTAGATGGGCAGAAAAGGTGTTGAGCCAAAAAACGAAAATTAGAAAAAAAATTGCCCATTGGCCAAAAAAATGCTGAATCTTTGATTTCATTATTTTGACGAGCGCCTGATTTCACCACGCTGTCTCACGTCATATGCTTGACAGAAAAACAGATTTGTTAAGGAAAGAATTGTGAAATTAGGGAGATATCACCAAAAAACGGATAGTGGAAAGGAGATAGGAACCAATACAACAGAAAAGTCATACATGTATTATAAAATTGCACAAATTCTACAGCGGATTCTTTGACTCTGCACTTTGGGGACCTTTAAGAGATACCATAACCATACAACAGGATAATAAAGCAACAACACAAGTAAAGCAGATAAGCACAGTTAAATAAGTATAAAGTTTTCGTTGTGGTTTTTTTATAATAATATTAAGTACAGGCTTAAGTATAAAGCCTTAAAGTTAAGGTTCATGAGATTTTTTCATGGTAGGCAGAAAGCTCTGATATAAAAACGAAAACAGAATCAGAAAAAATTCCTGTTTAGTTAAATTTAGTTTTAGTACGAGTTTTAGGGCACTTGCAACACAATTAAAGGTCATGTATGAGCCGAACATTAGTAGAGGCGTTACTAGAGTGTAACATACGAAGGAAAGAAGAGATAATGATGGCAGCTGATGTTCGATAGGAAACAAATAGCAAACATGACCAGAGCGCCTGCTAACCACCCTAAAAAACTTCCAGAATGTAACATTATAAACCCAAAACATAATCTGAGCAACGATGTTATCTTGGATATGGAGCTAGTGAAATGAAAGACAAAAACAAATGGTTTTATATATATCAGTCCACAATAGACGGGAAAAATAAAGTGGAAATAAATAAATAAAGCTGTGTGATGGAGAGATGGAGAGGCAGGGTTGTG